GGGGGGGGGGGGGGAAATAATCAGATGCTCTCCCTTTCCGTGCCTTTGCTGGTATTTATCATAATCACAGCAAGCCAGGCATTCAAACCGTGCCCATAGCCACTTTGCTAAATTCCTTAAAGTTCACAGAGATATATTTCTCAGAAGATCTCTCTGCACAGATTCAATGGCCAAAGCTGCTATGAAGTCTTTTATTATAGAAAAAATACAATCAGTGTAACACAGATGCAATATCACAAGACGGTTATAAAAAAAAAACCCAACCCTTTCAGTGCTGACAAAATGAGTGGAGAATTACATTTAAAATATTTTTCTTAGTTTATAGTGTTCGTTTGCCAAATGTCAAGGGTGGGTTATTTGTAATGGAACTGTCACTTCCGAACTCGCAGGAGGTCACTATCCCAAACACTGCTTCTGCTCTTCAGTCAGAGATCATTTAATTTTTGTCTCATCCATTGTGACTATAGGTACGTGTAGAGAAAAGGATCAGCATAAATTATTCAGAGCAGTGTGAGATATTGTTCGATGAAAGATGGAGGATCCTGGATAAAAAAAATTCCTAAATTGGTACTGGGCAGATTTTAAGGTCTTTGTGTATCTGATTTAGAGGAAAGCTTTATTACTGTAGGGCAGCTAGATAAATAATTCTGACTTTTTTTTTTTTTTTTTGTATTGCCCATCCCTTTCACATGTGCATCACTTCCAGCCCACCTCAGCACTTGCTGCTTACTGGAACTTGTAACAGCTCTATTGTATTCACTCTTATAAAAGAGCTCAAAAATCATGTGTTCCCCCTTAATTTTGCCAAAGCTCCATCATCAGCTTTGAATCTATAAAAGAAATGTACATAAACAGTCCAAACAATCACTTCTGGAAATGCTGATGTTATTTAGACTGTGCTGTGTTACATTCCACGGAGCTGTGCAGGCAGTAGACTCCAGTGAGGACAAGAAATTTTGACAGTACGCTCCTACGTGAGGTTATCCTTCCGACTTCTTGTGCCTGCTACATCCAGTTTCATAAGGAGAGGGAAGTGCAAAAGTGGAAAGGGCATAAAGGGGAGAAGGAGGCAGGACATAGACTTTAATACAGGTGCCGGCTGTAGCTCAGGGATTTGGAAAGCAGAGGGAGCTCTGTGAGCAAGATCCCTGCTTTTGAGGAAAAAGTAGCTTACTGCATTTTACAAGCAGCAAAGAATAAAGATCTTGATTAAATCTGGTCATTGGCTAAGAGTAGAAGGGAGCATAAAAGACAAAGGCTCCATCCTTTGTCATTTTTACTTGTTTCCAAGCTCAGCCCTTTCCGCATGGTGCCTGCAAATGTGCAGGAGATCTCGGGCAGTCGAAATATCTACAATTCAGCAGACCTGCTGTCCATTACAATTAAAATGAACTTACAAAAGGACCAGTTCCCTTAAAAATCCGTTTCAAACATTCTCATTGAAACATAGCATTGAATACATCCATAGATTTTTTTTTTTTTTACATATGGGATTTGTTTTCATCTGTGATTCCCAAAGTAACGCACATCTTTAGTATCGGTGAGATGATTATTGAAGTTATCACTATCAGGTCATCTGAATGTCCCCCTTAACATCCTAATAAAGTTAGGATATTCTCTCTCTCTTTGTAATATTTTTTTAGTGCCTAGGTGAATGCAATATTAAACAACCATCTGAACAAGTTGGAAAAAAAGATTATTATATCAATACCATTTTTAATGTTAACAGAGCTTTCCTTATAACTCTGAGTCACTTTCCTGCCACTTTGTTTTTTCTTGTAGTCTATAGTTTACAGATTCAAAACATAACCCCAAATATTTTGCTTTACCTTTGACAGTGGAATCTGGGTTGTTCTGTGCTTCATAGAAGATCTTAAAAAAAAAAAAAATCAAAATCGTTCTGTTGCTTAAATGTCAGGATCTTGCAAATCACACTGATACCACGGCAGCTCAGCTTTTCTTGTCCAGGAAAACAAACCAACCAAGCGACCAACCAACCTATAATCAGCTTATCCCAAAGAGAACATCATCCTTACAGGCTGATTTCACTCAGTCACACAAACAGTATGCCCTCAGACTCCTGGAAATGTGTTAGACAAGAAATAGTCTGCTTACCTATTGTGTTCCTGGCCAAATGATCCCCAGACCACTTGCTTTGCCAAAAATCCTAAAATAAAACACCATAGACTTTTCAGATCTCTGTAGACAGATGAAAACCGAAACTGTGCGACCAGTTTAACAGGACAGAACTGATTTTTCCATATGGCTCCCGAACAGACATAGTAACTAAAATACTTGTAGTTTTTCAAGAAAAGAAAGAAAAAAAAAAAAAGCCCAAGAGCTTTGCTATTTTCTTAAATTGTGTGTTTTCAAAGGTTATTTTAAATTTTCATAATTCTGAAATGCTCAAAGTCCCGGTGGTTGTTCTTTCAGTTCTAGGGCTCCTTCTGGAGGGCTGCGAAGCACGTTCATGTGTGCCGCTTCCAGACAGCGGGACTTTATTCCTGCACAGAGTGTCAGCCAGACTGTTAGAGCAGCCTAATCCCGGCGGTGGCTGGCCCCAGCGCAGGTCTTTGACAGAAACGCACAGAGAGGAGGAGGGGGTGAGATGGAGAGAACAAACCCTGTTAACCCTTGTTAGCCCTTAACATGAACCAGCCAAGGGGGCACCAATCTCCGCCAGAAAGTTAGTGTTGCCTTAGCAGCTTGATGGCCCTTCCATGGAGCGCGCGATCTCCTTGTCGACAGCACTGCAGACGGTTTAGGGTATTTCAGGTGTACTGTGTTAATGGTGTGGGGTTTTTTTTTTGTTTTTAATGACCCAACAGGTGCTCGCTGGCTCACAGAAGGGAAGGCAGAAAAGCTGTAAGGGAGGAATGCTCTGCATTTTTTAAGCAGACTGGAATTAGCAATCCTTTCAAGACTGTCAGGAATCTAATAGAGTCGAGCAGATTTCTTGGCTTGTGGAGACTGTGTAAGAAAGAAATTCCGAAAAGCGTACGGGCTGGGAGACTATTTCTGCTGTGGCAGTATTGTGTCTGAGGGAGCAGGCAGGAAAAGGGTGCATGGGAAATGGCTCACAGCAAGCGCAAACAATTGCTGCTGCAGTTGGGGCTCCAAAGCAGCTGGAGCAAAGCCGTGGTCCTGAAAAGGCCGACTCCTGCTGAGCCAGAGCTGGGCATGGCCAGGATTTGTGTGCTGCTTGTGCTCCTCGGCCTCTTGGCCTGAGGTGTCGGGAAAGGAGCCCTGGGGTTGTCCCTGTGGGGATGTGTACTCAGCGTCCTCAAGTCTGCTCGGAAAGGTGTGAGCTTTTAGGCGGGCGCTTTGCAGGGAGCAAAGGCAGTGTCTAGTTGGGAAGCCAGGACATTTATTTATTTTAAAATAAAGTCTCTTGTTCAGTGTTTGAAGAGAGCGACTTTACCATTGTCTCCCTAGATTTGAAGATGTATTATTTAAGTCTTCCCAAGACCAAAAGTTTGCTAAGAAGGAGGGGCAGCTGAGGGAGAAGTAGAAAGGCTTCCCCAGACCCTTATGAGAATGTCAATTTGCCTATCAACTGACGTAGAGGAAAGAAATATTTACAGCGTGTTTACTCTCACTGAAGATGATGGCAGAAATAATTAGGATGTTGTTCGTCAAAGGTTTGCTAAACATTTATTTGCTGAAAGCTTTTGCTGAGCAATTGGGCTTTTAAAAAACAGTGTGTGAGCCTTGCTACAGGCACTGTATGATTAGAGTGTTGGCACCGTCAAGCCAGGAAAGGGCATTGCCAGGTGTATGCCAGGCAACTAGCAGAGGTAGGGTAAATAGCAAATTGGATCTTCCAGACAAATTGTCATTCTGGTGTGAAATCCAGATCAGGTAGCGTCTGGGTAACAGGCTAATGAAAATATAAGCACATAGCCAGCAGCAAACTGTTCCCCTAATAAAGAGAAATATGAGGAAAAGGTGCTGTGAGTTCCCGGAGCTGGCCTGGAAGGAGATGTAGGTCAGATGAGGTGCATCAAAAAAATGTGCACAGAAAACAAGCCACGAGAGAAAATATATTAGCCACGATATGTGTAGGGACTACAGTGTGGGTTTTGCTGAGATCTGAAGGACTCGTGGGCAGAAGGTAGCAGGGACAATTTTAAGGAAGCAACCAGTGTTGTTAAGTAGGAGGATCTCTGGGCAGGGCTCAGGAGCAGACATCTCTCCTCTCTGGTAAAATCCCAAGTCAACATGGGCACAGGAGACATGCTTGTCATAGGGATGGGCTCCCAGCCCCATCCTCCCCGAACCTCCCACTGTCAGCAAGACAAACCATCACTCAGGGCACAACTCACCTTCCAGGGATGTCAGTGGGACTCTTTCCCCTGGCCATCCTTTCAGCTGCGTTAAGCCCAGTGCTTGTACTGTCTCCTGCTGACTAATATGAGCAAGGATGTCGGGTGAAAGAGGCTGACAAGATGTTTAAGTATGGAAGTAGTCCAGTTCCTCTCACACTGATTTCTCACATACTTCCCACGTGTGTGTGCTTACCTGCTTTGCTGGAGCAGGATGCGCGTTTGTAGATTCAGAGGTTCACTGAAGCAGTATCAAAGGCAAACCCCAGTATTCTTTATGGAGGAAGTTAAGAGCCAAATTTGTGACTCGCATAGCTTGACTGAACTCAGCGGAGTTACAACAGGGATAAATCAAACCCTTGATTTGGCATAAAATTGGTACGACAGACTTCTCGCTAGGAGAATGCGGTCTCTAATGAGTAGGCTCTGCTGCACCTCGGAGCTGAGTCAGTGACTTCAGGAGGGCTTTCAAGCGATCCCACTTTTGTCCCAACCCTGCTGGCCAGCAACACGTTTCACAGATGCAAGAGATGACCACCTTTGACACCAGAGACTTGATTTCTACTCTCTTGTATAGTAGCTTTGCTAAAAGATCAGTGACACCAAAAACAAAGGACCTCTGTTGAAATTGGAGCACGGAGACAGACCGTGAGAGATCTCGCCTGAAGCTCTCAAAGGTGCTTCAGATATGTATTTCTTGGAACCGCAGTCCCAGTTTCCGTATTCGCATGAGGGATCCTGCAAGCCAGAGGAGCATCCCACGGTTCTGACAGCACACCGCCCCCCGGCCCTCCCTGCCTGCAGCATTCGGTTGCTCTTTCTCAGCCCCCCCTTTTTCAAAAGGATGCTCGGCGAGCTGCGCCGTGTGCCCCATCCCACGCCGTGCAGCGCTGCTTCGTACTTGGCAGGGGGAATACAGGAAAACTGACTGCATGTGGTGCTGAGAGGCCGTTCCCTTGCCCTGGCAACCTACCTTCCAGATGGGCAGGTCACCTTCATCGGGAAACGGCATCTGTGTGAAGGGCTGCCAGAGCTCTAGTCCCTCTGTGAGTAGGATGCGTGGGAGAGGGGTGACAGGACGGCACGCTCTTCCCATCCCCTGCCCCACGGGATCGGGCCCTGGCTCTAACACAGGCCCCGACCAAACACAGACCTTCCTGTGCCCCCAGCCCTGCCCAGGGAGTTCTGTTTCATGAAACTCTGTAAGCTCGTTAAAAATGCATGAGGAAGTAGAAATCTAATCTCTCAGTTATGAGAGAAGTAATATTCTCTTTTTCTGCCTTTTACACGTGCACACGTATATCCTATGAACAACTGAGTTGAAACTGTTAGTCTTTGGCTCCCGGCTACTGATGTGCCTGCAAAATACCTTCGTAACTAATTAGCATTTATAAACAGTTCATAGCCCCGAGTGGGAGTAGCTACGGATGTCTGACTTATTCTAATGTCCTCCATGTCAAATCTACAGGGGAAAGTGTAGCATCCAAATACATTTTGCATTTTCCATGGCCGCGTGTTACAATCTATTATTCCTTTTGGCAAAAGAATCTAACTTCGGACTTGTCCTTATGGCTGCGGAGAAGGGGGTGAAAATTTCTGTAAAAATCTCCTGAGTGGAGGGATTGTCAGAATCAGTGCTTGACACCTACTGGAATTAATATGTCCTTGAGAAGTTAACATACTTCTGGGTAGTATTATTGCTCAAAAAAATATCTTTAGAGACACAGCTGGGCTCCAGAAGGAATCACACTTCTCTTTGAAGCTGTGAAAGGTGAGCCTAAGCAGAAGTCTGGCACTTAAAACCTACTGAGGGTACCCTAGTGGGGCAGCTGCTGCTATTTTTTCTGCGTTTTGTCAAATCCTGGCAACGCGTAAGCACCTGAAGGACTGTCCGATAAGAAAAGACCCAGCCTGTTCCTATTCGGAGGCGTTAATAAGCAGGAGAGAGAATTGCTTATAGGTCAAAAGCAGACTTGAACTTTTCCTGCAGCGTGTCCCCAGGTGAGAGTTGGAAGCTGCTGGGTTGTGCTGGCAGTCCACGTGGGTTTTGAAGGACAAAAAGCCAGCGACCTTCTAGATTTTGGATGCATAGTCCCCACTGTGGCATGTATATGTTAAGAAGTTCTCTAGGGAATTACATCGTGATAATTGCCATATCTACTAAAATTATACAAGAGTGGTTTTTTTTTTGCTTAGCAAAAACTTATTCCTTAGCAACAAAATCTTATCCCTCTCCAGGATAAGATGCTGGCAGCTTTGCACTTGAAAATGATCTTCTTCTGATGCTGTTGAAACTAACGATAGCCTTAAAGAGTCTTTTAGTAAGCAACAATCTAAATATATGGACACATGATTACCCCTCACTATTTCCATGTTACGTATTTTTAAGAACGATTGTAATTAGTCAGATGAGTCTGTAGAGAAATAATAGGTGTGATGTAGGGGATATTTCCTGTGCAAAGCTGTGATCTCGCGGGATGAGATTGCTTCTGAGGTCAGTATATCCGACTTAATGGGAAAATTCCTTGTTTTTATAACAGAGTTTATTCCTCCCCAAACGTAAATTCAGTGCAACAGAAAAATCTTCAAGGCCCCAGCCAGCAGTCAGTATAATAGTAACAACTTCTTCATGAATTAAAGAGGAAAACTTATTGAAGGTCCTGAGCTATTTTAATTTCATTTTTCCTTTTACCATACTCCTAGGCTTTCAGGATTTTAGGTTAATTCCTGTTAAATAAAGCCTTAGAAAACAGCTACAAAACTCTCTTCAAGCCATCAAAGTGACTGGTGTGGAATGGAAGGTAGGGAATAATAAGGTGAGGTTTCCAGCTTAGCTAAAAGACACTGGTCACCTCAGTTAAGAAAGTATCAAGAAGGAAAGAAGTGGCCCTGGCTGTAATCAGCGTGCCATTTTAATAGGGTAATCCTATATTTTTGTTTTTAGCTACAGCGTTGCTTGTTTTATATGCCAAAGGATTGACCTCATATAAACAGAACTAATCCGCCCTGGTGGACCAAGAAGCATCCCAGTGTTCCCTGTGGTGAAGGCTCTCAGGTGCTGGTTTAACTCCTCTCGGTGACAAGTTAGAGGGACGGGGAATGCCGAGCAGCCGGACTCTTGCTCTTAAACTGAGCCAGGGCCTGCTGAATTTCACTCCTCTGGAGGGAGGCTCTGATGCTGCACTTCTCCGTGAGCTTTCTAAAAACACCTTCGATCCGACCAAGAGGCCTTTCCTCTTGTA